TGCTATCTGTTTATCAATAAAATTTTGAAAAAAAAGGGGGATACAGATGAATGTCCATTTTGTATCTGTGTATTCAAAATGGTTAGGATAGATATATAGCTACATTCTCTTAATTCAAGGAATGGAGGAATTTGTTCTAATAATGTTTGTAAATACGATATCATGTCTGCATCTTCTACAACAGATAACCACTAGTAAGGTATTATGCAACATGTTAATTATTGGAACTATCCTACCAATTCTATTTTAAGCTGTCTCATTACTATTTATTCCTCAATAAAATTAAGGAAAAAATATTTAAAAGAAAGTTTAGAAATGTAACCATATACAGCATTGTAGCAGGACAGAACAGTGACATTTTTTCTTGTCTCTTGTTTTCATTTATTACCATTTTTTAAAACAAACATTTTCTTCAGAGACACCATGGCAGTAATTGGTATGTCATGACAAGCAGTACATATTTAGAAGACCAGAACGATATTACTTCCAAGCATGACCCTACTATTGCACATTGTTATCTTCAGTACAATTTCTTAGCTCATAGGTGTCAGTTCTGATCTCATTCGTGGAGTTCTGATCATTTTGGTCCCTCTCTAGAACATCTTTCATTAGCCTGTGTAGGGTTGGCTTTGTCATCATGAAATTCTTTAGCTGTTCTTTGTCATAGAAGTATTTCACTTCTCCATCAAACTTGAAAGAGAGTTTCATAAGGTATAGTATTCTGGGCTGGAATTTCTTTTCATAGAGTACTTGAAGTACTCTGCTCCATGCTCTTCTTGACTTCATGGTTTATGAAGAGAAGTCTGATGTTATTCTGATGGGTTTTCCTTTGAATGTGATCTGTTTCTTTTCTCTAGCGGCTTTCAGTATATTATTCTTGTGCTGGATTTCTGGGATCTTGACTATTATATGCCTCAGTGTATTTTTAATAGGGTTGAAGTTATTTGGAGTTCTGTATGCTTAGGGTACCTGAATGTCAGATTGTTTCCTCATATTTGGGAAGTTTTCTGCTATTACTTCTGCCCATATTCCTTTTATATCATTTGTATTGACTCCTTTTTTGTTATTGATGCCTATTAGTCTCACGTTGTTCATCTTTGCATTGTCTTGAAGGTGATGAATTACTACTTGTCTTTAAGAGATCTTCTCTTACCATTTCACTTGCTGCGATAGCGTCTTCAAGATCTGAAACTCTACCTTCACTCACTCAAACGGTTTTAGAAGCTTGTGTCTGAAATTTTCAGTTCTTCTATGTCTCTTTGATTCTGCTTCATTCGGTCTATTTCTTTCCTGTATTTCTCATTCAAGAAATCCATCATTTTTCCAATCTCCTCTATTTTTTATCAGTGTCTTCTTGAGAAGCTGTTATTAATTCTTTTATGTTGGAGATTATTTCTGATTTCATTTCCTCTATATATTTGTGCATTTTATTCTTTACTTAAGCCACTCTTAATTCAGAGATGTCTTTTTTATTTCAGAGATTGATTCTGATCTGTGTTCCTCTATACCTTTCTGCTGTTGTTTCTTTACTTCAGATGCTATTAATTCAGGGATTTCTTTTTTCATTACAGAGATTATTCCTGATCTGAGTTCCTCTATACCTTTCTGCTGTTGTTTCTTTGCTTCAGATGCTATGAATTCAGACATTCCAGCTGTGCTAGTGTCCTCTGCACTTGTTCTGGGTGGGCTCAGAACCTGAGGTTTCATTTTTCTCCTTCTCTTTGTCATTTTGTACAGTTCTGTCCTCTGATCTTGGTGTAGACCTTTGATGCAGTTATAACCTTAGCACTCAAATTCAGGTACAGGTCTACTAAATTTGAGTTCATTCAGTTGTGCCTGACTTGGGTCTGGCTATTGTGCTCAGCTCCTTCCTGCTGCAGCCCTTGGAGGTGACCCTGTAGTGTCCCTCTTGGAAGATGCTCTGCTACTGGATTAGCTGGGTAGTTTTGGCCCCTAGTCTTTCTGCAGGGATGTCAGCTGAAGAGTTTCACTCCAGGACTATATTCCAGGCCTGGACTGGGTATGGTGGGTTCCAGGTGGCACAGGAGAGTGCACAAGCTCTTTCACACACTCACCGTCTCTGGGCCTGCACAGATCTCGATGTATCCCGAGACCGTGGGGCAAGTTCTCACTCACAAGACTGTCTTGGGCTGGCTCTGGAGGGGTGGAGAGGTCCCCAGAGGGCAGCAAAACGTCTCACTCACACACCGGGCCAGGGCTTGGTCCAGAGAGGTCCAGCGGTGCAGGAGAGGGCAGAAGCTCTCACACACACATGCAGGGAGTGGGCTTGGGCAGGTAACTACAAAGTGATTCTTATTATGTAAATGTGACATGCTTTTTTGTAAAGTATTTCTTATCAAATGTCTGACATGGCACTGCTCTTTGAGCCTCTGGAAACTATCAATGCTAAGGAAATTTTTGTGATTTGTATCTCCTAATTATGTTAAGATTTTAATCATTAAGTTTTAATTTTGAATTGATGGGTAGGACTGTGAGTGGGTCACATGTGCAACATAATATGCATATTTTTGTATGTGGAATCAAACTGAGGGTACTGCACTTGCCAGCAGGCACTGAGCCATTGTGCTACATCCCCAGCTGCTAATGCTTAAGAATATCTATTAAATGCAATGATATTACAGAAGTCAGTGGAGAAATTTGAGTTTTGAAATGATCTGAAATCCACTTTCATTTTTAAGCAAAATGGATAGATTTGCAAAGTAAAATATGCCATATCACATAATTTTCATTTTTGTGATGAGAAAATACATAATCTCCTTTTTAGTCACTTTTCAAGAATTAATAAACGATTGCTAAACTCAGCCAGCAGACTGCAATTTGGATTTCTAGGAAGCTATAAAGTGGAGATTCAAACTACCAAGGGCTGAAATACACATGCATCTAAAGTCTAAAACTGTTCAGGAACAATTTAGAAACAAAGAAGCATTTCTAAAATTAAACAAAAATAAAAGTTTCAATGCTTATTTACACTTTGGGAAAAAATTCCATATGCTTAGAACGAAAACATACATTTATATAAATGTGTGATACACATCCTTTAGGAATGCTAAGAAACAAACATGGACCCAAAAAAATCCTGAGTGTGAAGGGACAATAGAATGCTTATTCCCTGCCAGTGGGATTGGATAATGGTCCTACCACTTGAACGCTTTTCGGTAATTTATTTTTGTTGTTGTTGATATACTTTATAACTTTTTATTTTTAATTTATTTTAAATGCATATAATAGTAATTGATAAGATATGAGAAATGGTCCAAATTTAGAAGAACAACGTGAGAGATAGTCAACCATAATTTTTGTATTACACATTACTATCTTTGAAGTGGTTGCTTAGATTACAGGTTTCTGGAAACCTGTAACAGAATTTCTTATGGATGTGAGGACCACAGTAGACAAGAGAGTTGAGAGGTTCACCGATCTTATCTGAGCATGATGGCATTATACACCTTCTGTCGATGTTTACATCAACTTCATTACCTTCATGTCTTCCCCAGGATGAAGATTGCTTGTAAGTACAGCTGGGTCTTGTGTAGAAGGGTTCTAAAAGGAAAGTATTTGAACCATGAGCATTAGCCAACCATGTCATGGAGCCCTTATGAGTTTATCAGGAAAGAGCTCAACCACCAGCCAGGTCCACTGGAATTCTCCCAGGGGCTCTGTTTTCACACAGTTCTGTCAGGACCTCCATGTCTTGTCTGCCTAAATGGCCATCTGTTACTCAAGGCATAACAGAGATACTCCACGTGATCACCTGAATAATGTGAACACACATGAAGCCTGTGGTGAAACAAGTCATTAAATGGTTATCTGAAACCACAGAATGTACAACAGAAGGAATCAACCCATGTTAGCACTACGACTATGAGAGTTGATGTTATCTCATTTGAGTTGAACCACAGGAACAAAGAGGGACTGCAGAACGGGTGTTGGTGGAAAGGCAAGTTGTACTTGTAAATAGTCAAAGACATTCCTGGGAAATATCTCCATTTTCTATTCGACTTTACAATGAACATGAAGATGTCTTATTAATAAAATCTGGTAAATAGACATAGCAGCAACATTCTGGCTATTTTGTATAAAGTAAAGAGAAAAAGAGAACAATGTCATCTGACTGTGAAACTTTGCTCTTAGAAACTTTTCCAATTGAATTGCAATTCAAAAACATCACAATCGATGAATGTCTACACTCCCAATGAATTTGGTATATAAACAGAAGCACTCTACAAAAATTTCCTTCCATTGATGAGCTCCACATTGAGTGAAACACGACAATGGTGTTCTTCCCCAATGAACAAGTATAAGGTCATCTTTCCCATAACAGTGGATCAAATGACATTTGTGAAGACACCAATACTGTGTCCTCACAAATACATTGGAGGAGTTTCTGCATTAGGGCTAATTTCAGAGAGATTTATTTCATTGTGATTGTGTTTTTTAAATTCTAATAGCTAGGACAAAATATTGCAAAACAAAAGTTAAAGAAGCAGAGGTTTATTGGGATCACAGTTTGTAGAGTTTTCAGTTCATATTAGGCAGCTTCAAGGCCACATATGATATGGTGAAGAAGAGTTTGTGGTGGAAGAAAATACCTAAAGTAAAAAGACAAGAGCTAGTCACCCTCTCATTATACCATAAACCAGCTACTCAACAAAGAGCTGTAAAATAGAAAATCAGTCCGATAATCCCAGTACTAGAGCATAAGCTAATCAAAAACTCTAGATTCAGCCAGATTCCTGCAAAATCCCATCAACATAACTGCATGAGGCTTTGGTGTGTATGAAACACCAACCACGACAAAAGTCGACTGTACTTCATAATGCACAATTGTCCCATTCAACTAGAGTGGATACTGGATTTAAATCTTTCTTTTCCTCAATTACTTCACCAATTTATAAGTGTATCTTCATTCTCATCAGCTCTATAATATCATCTAAGCAGCTGTTCCTTCCTCTGGGTTTCTAACATATGCAGGATGTGGGTCACCACACTGTGTATCTCACACAGTAATACACAGCCGTGTCCTCAGACTTCAAACTTCTCAGTTCCATGTAGGCTGTGCTGGAAGACTTGTCAGTGGTGAGGACAGCTCTGCCTTGGAACTTTGGATCATATCCAGCATTGCCATTACCAGGATAGACCCAGCCAATCCACTCTAATCCTTGTCCAGGGCTCTGTCGCACCCAGTTTATATTGTAGCTTGTGAATGTATAACCAGAAGCCTTGCAGGTGACCTTCACTGAGGTTCCAGGCATCTTCAGTTCAGGTCCAGACTGCACCAGCTGCACCTCACCATGGGCACCTGAGGAGAAAAGACAGAAGTTTGAGGCAGGGTCCCCTGACAGCTCTGGTCACTTCCTCATAGATAAGACTGTCGATCGCCTTACTTTTCAGAGCTGCCACCAAGAATAGGATCCTCCAGGCCCAATCCATTTTAAGGAGCTGTGCTCTGAGGGATTCTACAGAAAGCAGAGATGGCTGTAGAATTCTCTGGCCCACAGAGCTTTCATATTTACTTCTGCAGTCTCTGATTATTTGCATATTCATGAGGCAGGAAACTTCTTAGCTCTAGATCTGCTCGAATCTGGAAGCAACTAGCAAATCTACATGGGATATTCATCAGTGAGATGCTCAGATTCATGAATTTATCCTGTCTGAAGAAATGTATCTCTCAACTTAAGCATGCAGATATCCCTCACTGAGAATGAATCCACCAGAGGAAGGTGGTTCTCTGAACCCAGCTTCGAATGCTCCATAATCCACCTGAGCTTCTCAGTGGCAATCAGTGTCCTTGATTCTAGGCAGATAGAATGACCTCTACATATTTGTATTAGGTGTAAACAGAACTCAAGGTTGACTCTTAGGGAAAAACACTGCCCATTCCATACCCATACACAATATGTGCCATGGATCCCTCTGTTATTAGTCTAGCCTCCTAGGATGGTTGCTCCAGCACCTGTCTGGATTGATTTTGTCTCATCTGTTCTACAAAAAGGCCCTTGATCCTCAGACCAGCCCTGTGATGTACAGTGTAGGGCTGGGCTTCTGACCACATGAAGTATGGTCCTTGAATGTGAACTCGATTTGCATTGACTGAGTTTGTTGATTTTATTTGTGTCTCATTCACATCAAGACAATGCAGAATTCTGGAGTATCCAAAATGTTTGTGAGATATTTATCTCCCTCATCTTTCCTCCTTAATTGGTGTACATAGTCATTAACTGTCACATGATCTGACCCTCCACAACAATGAAATACACCTATTTCTGCTGTCAATCCCAAAAGCAGATAGTGAAGATCATGTTCTGTATGTCTGCCAATATGCTGCACCACTTCACATTAAAGAAATTCATCCTTTCTTACATCCTTTCACTACTGATATTTGCCAACCACTGCAATCCCACATTCACAATTCTTTTTAAGTGATTGAGTTCAATGAACTAATGCACTGAAATATTTATCAAATTATGTATGCATTATAAACTTAAAAAATTGGAAAAGGTTTTGAATGTGGATCACTCAAGCATCAGAGGAACTTGGTCAAGTTTCCACACCTGCTCCCAAACTGTCAATGCATGACAGGTCCTGAGTACCTAACTTCTCTCCAACCCAGGATGGGTCAATGTCTGTACCATGCATAATTTTGTACAGTTACTCCACCTCAGACATTATATTAAATGATCTTCTAAGACTGTTTCTGGGAGATGTTGCTCTTCTGACCCATGTCCTAGAGGAAGGAATTCGCTTACCAACCTGCAATTCTGCAAGGGAGACCTCAGTTTGTAAGAAAGAAACAAGCTGGGGATTCACTACAGGAGGTTTGTGCATCCCTCTGGGTAAGCCTGTCCAGGGGAACCGCAGGCACCAGGGACACCTCCAGCTTCCTCCCCATCAAAGCCCCCATGCGGCTAGAGCATAAGCCTTCTACAGATTCTCTGTGAAGGGTCTCCTTAGGTCATAAGTTATCAAGATAGAGAGGAAATCACAAACATCTGATAGGAAACCCTCTCTCCACAGTTTCTTCCTCTGCACCTGCTCCTGAGGCATTTGCTGGTGCTCCGTGGAACCTCAGTGCCCCCCGCTGGTCGCAACGTCCCTGAATGAGGTTTCTGTTGGGCCTGTGTTGTTCTCCCCTCACTGTTTCTCTGACCTGGTAATACACAATCATGTCTTCAGTTCTCAGAACGATAGTTTGTAGGTAGAATGTTCTTGGTCTTTCTGTGGGATGATCAATTGACATTTCCTGGGCTATAGTATGTGCTACTTCCATGGGTTACTAATTAGTAAGACCAAGTCTATTTCTTCCCCACAACCTGGCAGAAACAGCACCCACTATAGCTCCTGAAGGGGACAGCAGAGAGTAAGCATTGGAAAAGGAGTCCTCAGGAACCTGCGGACTCCACACACTCCTCCAGCTGCACCTCACGCACAACACCTGCAAACACAATGTCATTTTCCTCAGGACGTCACATATGTCCCCTGTTTATCCTACTCATGCACAAGTGTATATTCAAGATGTTATTCTCCATAAACTACTCTTAAAAATTTCAAGAAGGAAAAGCAAGCTTAGCCTAAACTTCTTGTATGGTATTCAATAATGACCACTGAGCAGGAGCCCAGGGCAGGCAGATCTGGGTTGCATTCATGGGCTGCAGCATCAAGACTGGGCTGATTCTCAACAGCAGAGGGAAGTCCTCTTGGAGGGAAGTCCTCCATATCCATGGAGGTGGATATTTCAGAGTGTGCATTGTGCTAGCAAGCAATGGAGTTTTTATATTGAGAGTGTTTGATTAAGGGTCACGTAATGTTAGAGGCCATTAACCGGTATCCATTCTATTCCCCTGCTGAGTTAAGTTTATGGTCCTTCTTACCTTGCCCATTCCCCATAAATCACGTGCTATGCCCCAGGGGTTACACCTTCCCTGTTGCCTACATACCTGCTGACCCCAAGAGCCAAGACTTCCTCATTCCATCACCCCCTATATATACCCAGAACCTCCCCTAAATAAACGAGGCTTGATCAAAATCTTTGTCTTGCCTCCATTTCTCATGTCTCCTGTCCTTTGTCCCCTCTTCAGTTCCCCGCTCCTCCCCCAGGTGACCTTCATTGACTGACCCGCTGGATTGGGACAATTTAAGATTATGAAAATGCCATAATTGTATTTCCTATGTAGGATCTGACATCCTGAGGATCTTGCATTAATTTCTTGGGACTTTACTCTCTTAAACTTTGGGCAAACTTCTTACCGATCAGGTACCTGCAGGTAGAGGAAGGTTCCTGGACAGGTTTGGAACTCTCCCTTCTTGCAGTGTCAACTAGTGTGACACTCTTGCACTCTACTTTTTGGTGACAGAATCAGAGTCAGTGTTAATACAACTTGATGAGTCTCTCATTAGCTATAATCAGTATCTATTTATCCATCTAGTTTCTATTTTCATATATATTTTAAAATTTGTTTGTTTTAATTTTCATTAGAGTTTGCAATGCTCAATGGTTATGCCAATTGTGGAGAGTTGGTATATGTGTATAACACATTTAATTCATTTTACCCATTTCTCTTCACTTATCTCCACATTTCCTCCAATTCATTGTCCCTTTCCCTATTACAAAATATGTGGGATATTATTTACAATTATCTATATTATTTTCTCTAGTTTTGTTTCTCAGATAAAGGAAATTGGGCTGGAAAGATGGCTCCGTGGTCTAAAGCACCTACTTGGAACAAGCTTGGCAAAGCACAGGGACCGTGGTTCGATCCCCCAGCACCACATGCCAGCCAGCCCCGCCCCCTGGTGGGCTGAGCTGGACACACACACACACAATAAATGTAAAAATAAATAAATTAAATAACCAAAATCTTTTTTTAAAAAATTCAGATAAAGGAAATCATGAAATATTGAAGCTTCTTCATCTCATTTATGTCATATATGTAATGGGATTATTTAATGTTTATTTCTTGGGTGGAAATATATATATACTTATATAAATATATGATAATATATAATATTCAATATGTTGAGAATGCAAAATAAGTTAGCAAAATAAAATATTAAATGACACAATCAAAAGACTGGGGAACGCAAATGAATATACAATAGTTAGGAATTTTATAATTAGATAACAAGTCCATGAAATAAGTGAACATAAAATAAAAATATTAAGGCAAAATCACTATTCAGATGTGTTGCTCACTTATCTAGAAGACCCTCTACCATGCCCTAGGGATTCCTCTACCCCTTCAGAGCCCCCCAAGCCCAATGAGTGAGTGAGAGCTTCTGCCACACTCTCAGGACCACCCAGACCAATCCAAACCCGGACTCAGCTAGTGTGTGGAAGAGCTTCTAGAAACCCCTGTGCGCCCTGGATACCAACAGACCCAGAACAGGCCTGGCATACATGCCTGGGGTGAAGTTTTGCAGCTGAAGTCCTTAGAGAGAGACTAGGGGCCAGAACCACCCAACAAATTCAGGAGCAGAATATCTTGCCAAAGGGGCACATCAGGTTCACTTACAAGGGCTGCAGCAGGAAGGAGCTGAGCAAAACAGCTAGACTCAAGCTGGGAACAACTGGATGAACGAAAACTTAATAGACTTGCAGCTGAATTTCAGTAGGTGCTAAGGTTATAACTGCAACAAAGGTCAGAGGTCAGTGCTATGTGAAATGACAAAGAGAACCAAAATGTAATCTCAGGTACTGAGCCCTCTAGAAGGAGGAACACTTTGAGAAGTAAGGGTAGACAAAGAGTTCATGAACAAAAACCAAATTGCATGGATAACACTTGAAAGAATTAACAACAGAGACCACCTCTTATTGAGAAGTTTTTACATGTCAAAAAAAATTAACAATAAAGTGAAAAGACAACCCAAAAATTTGGAAAAAATCTTGACAAATAAGTACTCAGACAAGGACTTCTCTCTAGAACTTATAAAGAAGAAAAATACATTAGGGCCCAAAATTTAATGACTCAATCCAAAAAAGGGCATCCAAGATGAAGACACACTTCTCAGAGCATGAAATTATAGAAGAAAATAAATATATGAAAAAATGTTCCACATCATTAGCCATCCATGAAATGCAAACTAAAACAGCACTGAGATATCATCTCACTCCAGAAAAATGGCTATCAAAGAAGCAAACCAACAACAAATGTTGGAGAGGCTGTGTGGAAAAAGGAATCCTTTTCCACTTCAGGTTGGAAAGTAGACTGGTGCAACCATTATGGAAATCAGTGTGGAGACTCCTTAAAAATCTAGGACTGGAAATCCCATTCAAACCAGCTATTTCCCTACTAAGAATTTTCCTGGAGGATCTGAAAACATCATGATGTAGTGATATATGTGTACCTATGTTTATAGCAGCACAATTTGTAACAGCCAAATCTTAGAAACAACCAAGATGCCCATCACCAGAGGAATGGATGAAAAAGATGTGGTATTTTTATACAATGGAATATTACTCAGCTATA